ACCCACAGCAATGAAAGAGGAAAACTTTAGTCCATAGTTTACAGAGAATAATAAAAGGAAAAATAGAAGAAGAAAACTTAATCCATCCGTTTCAATTAAATTCCATCCATGAAAATTGCATTTAAAAAGTAAGATAACCACTGTCCAAAACCATTCCAAATTTAATTCCGCTGTTTGATTCTTCTGTTCTCCAATTTAGATTAATTTTAAGTTTTTATAGGCAGTCTCTTTTTAAAACAGTAACGTTCCTCACCAGCTGGAAACACTTTCTGTATCCTTCCATTTTGGAGCCGCCCCGACTTTGTCAGCCTTGGCTGGATTTTTTGTCACTGTCTTGAAGAACTTCTCTTGCTTCTTTCAGGGATTTTGCGATATTCCTGAGGTCAGCAAGACATATTCTTCCTGCTCACCATCTCTTCGAGACGGTTTAGGTCCGATTGGACCACCCAGCGGCAAAAGTATTGGCTGCGGTCTCAGAGCATCGAGACCTCACGTCCATCTCATCGTGATGTTGGCTCCTCCCCCCAGGAATGTGGGCAGGATTTATGTACATAATTGCAGCATGATTTCTTTGCCACGTTTGCACAATTTATTCTTCTGCTATGACTGGATGCTTTACTGCATGTTAGGGCTTCTGGGTGGGGGTTGCCTCTATTGTGGTGCAAGAACCCCGATATGTCTCCTTATTCCTAGGTAGCATAAGCCAGTATTTAGTTTGGATCTGGCACTGCGCTCAGTTCAGCCATGAAACTCACCATGTGACTTTGGCAAGCCACTACTGATATAAATCCATTGCCCAAGATTGTTATGATGATAAACCGGAGTGGGGAGAGAATTATTTTGGGGATGGTTCAGCCAGCATGCAGTTAATAATGATCATCTGCCTTGATCATCTGCAGCCCCTCTGTATTTTACTGAACCATTAGATTTATGTGAGAAAGCTAAAAGGAGCCCAGAGGAAGGAAGCCCACACTGCATCCAAGGCAACACACAATAGTAACATCAGGCTGCACCTTTTTTTGCTAAGCTTTACAGCTTGGTTCTCTGCATGGTGTTCTTTTAAAGGGAAAAAATAAATAGAAGCTGTGAGGTAATAAAGTTTTTATTGTGGTCCCAATGAAAATAATCACCTTCAAGACACACACACCCCACCCCTTCTCACCTCTTTTTTTTTAAGTATGGAATTTCACAAGCTCAACATCCAGCCTATGTACCATTCTTGATGTCTGTGTTCTAATCCAGGAGCCTCCAACCTTGGCAATTTTAAGCCTGGTGGATTTCAACTCCCAGAATTCCCCAGCCAGCAAAACAGTTGAAGTCCTCCAGGCTTAAAGTTGTCAAGGTTGGAGAACCCTGATCTAATCTGTATCCACCCATCCTTGACCCAGGAGAAACTGTACCAGCCTGACATTTGCTGGCCTCATTGGCGTTTGTCATCCCACCTTTCTTGTCTCTGTTTCCAGTCACTGTCAGGCATTTGACTTTCTTCCGTGGTAAGAAATGACGATGCTTAAGAGATTTTATGCACGTAGAGGTTGTTCTTGGATAGTATTGAAATAAATGAGCTTTAACAGTGGTATAATTAACAACTTCACTGAGGATGAAGTGAATGCAATGTTTTGGGAACATCGCTCTTGTTATAGTGATTGTGGTGTGATTAGTAGAGACGTAGAAAAGCAGCCTGTGTCTTCATGATTTTTGGATAATCCTCCTAGCAACAAGGCCTTCTTTTTCTGACCACCCATTTTGACCAACCAAATCCTAAAAAGCAAAGGGCCAAAAAAGTCCGATCTGTCTCTCTGCTGATATCCCCACTACAGTATTCATCATGAAAACTCAGCAGCTAAAATATACCCTGTTTCCCTGAAAATAGGACCTCCCTGGATAATAAGCCCAATCAGAGTTTTGAGTGCATGCGCTAAAATAAGCCCTCCCTGAAAATGTTGCAACGCAGCAGCAGCTATGAGGTGACCACGCTTGCTGCCTCCTGCACTTCAAAAATAATAAGACCCCCCCCCCTGAAAATAAGGTCAAACACTTATTTTGGGGGTCAAAAGAAAATAAG